CGAGGCATGAAACTGCTTAAACACCTCAAATACTTGATCTTTAGATTTCAAGGTATAAACCCAAACCTTTCTGGAGTGATCATCAATGAATGTGACAAAGTAGGAGCAACCACCAAGTGTCCTAGTCTTCATAGGACCACAAACATCAGAATGCACCAAATCAAGTATACTCTCCTTCCTGGAAGGAGGATGGCTCTTAAAGGAAACCCTGTTCTGTTTACCTGCCAAACAGTGCGAGCACTTCTTTAAATGAATATCATGCACATCCGGTAACACATTTCTCTTCAACAAAAGAGACATCCCCTTTTCACTCATGTGACCAAGTCTCTTATGCCATAAATCAGTCATGTCAGTATTCACCACAGCATTGACCCTATCCTTGAAGATCTTCGGATGTGTCATGTACAACTTTGAGCATCTTTTACCTCTAGCCACGATCAAAGAACCACGAGTGAGTTTCCATATTCCATTACCAAAGTTGTTGCTGTAACCATCATCATCAAGTAAGCCTGCGGAGATCAAATTAAGTCTCATATCTGGAACATGTTTTACATTATGTAAAACCAACTCTATCCCAGTGTCAAACTTCAAACAAATTTCTCCGATGCCTGCAATTTTTGATAGTCCATTATTACCCATCCTAACATTACCAAAGTTACCTGGAGTGTAAGATGAATAAAAATCCCTCTGTGATGTTACATGACAAGTAGCACCACTATCAACAACCCAACTGGAATCATCATGTGCAATGTTGACCATATCAAGATCAGAACAAATAAGGAACTCATCGGTAGTAGTGTTAACTTCAGCATTGCCATTACCACCCTCATCTTTCTTATGGTTCTTTTGATTGTTGTAATCGCTCTTCTTCTTCTCCTTTTTCAATTGCCTGCAGAACCGTATTGTGTGGCCTTTTCTACCACAATGATAGCACTCAAAATCAGCAAATTTTCCTTTGGATTTACTTCGATGCTTCCCTTTGTTACCTGGACCTCTACTCTGACTTCTCCCCCTGCTTTCTGTAACTAAGACATCAGAATGTGAAGAGGAACTTTGTGACTTTCTTCTCATCTCTTCATTTAAAACACTGCCTTTAGCTAATTCCATGGTGATAATACCATCTGGTGCAGAGTTGGACAATGATGTCCTAAAAGTCTCCCATGAGTCCGGTAAAGTGCCAAGGAGCCACAAGCCTTGTATCTCATCTTCAAACTTGATACCCATTCCTGCAAGTTGATTTATGATTCCCTGAAAAGAATTCAAATGATCAGTGACAGGAGTTCCATCATGGTATTTCAAGCTCATCATCTGTTTAATTAAGAACAATTTATTGTTCCCGGTCTTTCGAGCATACAACTGTTCAAGCTTGTTCCACAAACTGCGAGCATGAGTTTCCCCGCTAATATGGTTCAAAACATTATCATCAACCCACTGACGAATATACCCACAAACCTGTCTATGCAAAATATTCCACTCTGCATCTGTTTTACTCTCAGGTTTATCAGTAGTAAACACAGGCAAATAATAATCCTTCACATAAAGTAAGTCTTCCATTTTGCCTTTCCAAACATGATAATTAGAACCATTCAAATTGATCATCCTACTTGTGTTTGCTTCCATCATTCAAACAAGTTTAACCCAATACAGAAGAACTCGGCTCTGATACCAATTTGATGGGAAAAACAGCCACAAACGGAACTAATAAAATGCGGAATTAATCTTCGTTTGGCTAAACTTTCCCCAACTTGAATGAACCTTTGAGGATGCAAACAAATAGGGTGTTCTTAATGCAATTAGAACACACACAATATTGCTGCCACACACTAATATTTTCAGCTAAAACAGTAAGCACACACCGCACACAAACACCGGAATTTTAGCGTGGAAAACCCGTTAACTAGGGAAAAACCACGGGACCATTTTGGCCGCTTAAATCCACTATCATCATCAAAGGAGCAGTACAAAGTCTTCTCTAGATAATACTAGAGGCATACAAAATCATCATATCCTTGGAAGTAAGCACATCAAGATGTATGGAATCAAATAGAGCCAAGATAAGAAAAATATCACCAGAAAAATAGCTACTGTCCAGACCAACGAAACCCGACCTCCGGACCTCAAAACCCGATCTCCACTGTCCAGAATGTTGGCTCAGATGCTGTGAAGCTGCTGTCCAAAAATCACGACGATCCAACGGTTCAATCTCCGGGAAACGGAAGTTTTCTGCTGCTGCCTGCTGGAAAAACGGGATGAGCACACTCAGCTCATGTTTTTGTGACTTGTTCTCTTTTCTACTGCTCTCTTGCTGTCCTCATATGTTGAGATAGTAGCTAACCCATATTTTATTATTAGCTCCCAAAAAAGAAAGTCAAAGAAGACTTTTAATGGGCTCAAAACTTGGGCTTTCCTCATGGGTCAAAAAAAAAACAAAGAAAAACCCAACACGTCCAAACCAAAGATACAAAATGAAATAATGAAACATATTTCTAAGAAGAATATTTACCGATTTTTATCACAAGTGAAATTCTAAAGATTTTAAACCACTTTAATATAAGATCAACTCCAACCATATTCATAAGATGAACTGATGATCGTTGGCACTACTTTGAGGATTCAAAGAGATGCGATCTTATTCTCTTGTGCTGTTTTTAATTTGTTGGAAAGGAGAAAAGAGGCAAAAACATACGAATATTTGGCCTGGATCCCACAATCAGAAAAGAGGTAAAACATTCTTTTACCAAAGGTTCAACAGTTAAGATTAAAGATTACTACTAAAAGGAAAGGAAAACGATTGGCACTCTTACTCCGTTTAACTTAACGGGAAAACAAGATAAAGAAACGGAAATAGGGATCAAAAAGGTCAATTAGGTACAGAAAGTACGAATACTAATGCATATGGAACAACTTCTTAATGCTTCTTGATGCCACCAACATTTTTCCAATGCTAATTGCACCCTTACCTCTATTGATGCTTATAATTTTTTAAGATTTCTAACGTTGCATTTAGTTGGTGTCCAATGTTCTACATAATTACTTATTATGCCACCGTTACTTTTGCAATATATCTGTCGTCAGATCAATTTTTTTAATGATGAAGATTTGTTCCCATTTCTCTCCTAAGAGCATCTTCAATGCTATAATGTCCACGGTGCACATGTGGCATGAGTTATAGCCACATAAATATTAGCAAATAAATTATTTTTCTCCTTATTTGAATGATTTTATACAATTTTGGTAAGTTTTTCCCTGCAATGTCAACAACAATGTCAATATCTAGACGGTCTCCTTGACAGTGTGGAGAAAAACTTACCAAAACTGTATAAAATCATTCAAATAAGGAGAGAAAGAATTTATTTACTAATATTTATGTGGCTCTTTTTCATGCCACGTGTGCACCGTGCACATTTTACCATTGGAGATGCTCTAAGCCTCCATTCTCGCCGGAACCCTCCTATATACTCTCTCCGTTCCAAATTGTTTTGCAAAGTCAACATTTTTATGTCAATCAATAATAAAAGTCAATCATCTCAATTGATAATTAACTCCATTTTTAATAATTAAAATTTACATATTCAGAAACTACATTAAAATCTCTTCAAAGTTGCAAACTCCAAATTAGAATATAATTAAAAATAGACATCCTAATTAAGCAAATAAAATGAAACTGTTTGATCAAGAAAAGTCAAATTTGCAAATCAATTTGGGACGGAGGTAGTATATATATATATATATATATATATACACACACACACACACACACATACAAACTATTCCTCCCATGCTAACCTACAAACTGTCACAAACTGTGCATCTTCACATTATTTGTACTGCATATTATAGTTCAAAGTGTTGCATATCATTTCTATTGCATATTTAAGTTCAAAGTATTGCATATTATTTCTATTGCATATTGAAGTTCACAGCGTGCATCTTTACATTATTTGTACTGCATATTGAAGTTCAAAGTGTTGCATATTATTGAGTTTGTAGGTTAGTATTTTAAGCAGTGGCGGAACCAGAATTTTTTTTGAAGGGGTGCTGAGAATTATACTCCGAAAAAACTACTCAAGAACCCCTAGTTCATTAAGTACTCTAAATAGACCCTTGCAAAAAAAAGTACTCTAAATAGACATAATCTCTACTCAAAGAATCGAAATAACTAGTAGATTTATGTAAACCTTAATTAGCGATCACCGCAAAAAAAACACGGGATTGACGGAATTTTTGGCATGGACCCAAAATTGGCATGAATTTTGACAAATTAACCTAACAAATTATACAACTTTAACATAATCATATACTCCACAATAAATAGCGTTGCGTTATATATATTTAATCACGGAAAAGTTCCCGAAATAGGACTAAAACAGTTTGAAAATTCCAAAAATAGGACTGACATATTTTTTATTTCCAAAATAGGAGTAATTACTGTCAAGTTTGGAAAATATTGTCATGTTTGAAGTCTGGTACTGCCAAAACATGACAGTAATTAGTTCTATTTTGGAGGAAAAAAATATGGCACTCCTATTTTGGAATTTTCAAACCTTTTTAGTCCTATTTCGGGTAACAACCATTCTTGGTGTACACGTTTTTGTACTCATCAGTACACGCATGTGTCTGTGAGAGTTTTTTTTTTGTCTGTGAAGCGCGGTCCACAGACATAAGTTCGTTTGTTTTGTCTGTGGAAAATTTCACAGACAAAACAAACAAGCTTTTGTCTGTGGACCGCACTTCACAGACAAAAAAAAACTCTCACAGACACATGCGTGTACTGATGGGTACAAAAACGTGTACAAAAGGAATTTTTGTTCGGGTAATATTCTCATCTAATCACTAACTTCACAAATTTACTTCAACAAATACGGAGTACAAACTAAAAGAAATAAAGAAGGTTCGGTGGTTCCAGTAAACATTAAACAACCACGCACTTCAACAACACATTACAATTTACACATACAAATATTGAATTATACGATAGTATTAAACAAAAGAAGAAAAGATAACATTACCTTTCACAAGCCACAAATGCGCAGAAGCGAGCAACGCAGGTCTTCCATTTTTCCAGCTTCCAATGACGGTCATTGATCCAGCACAGAACTGGCAGGCGGCGGCAAAATTTAGAATCATCTGTCGATTCAGTCTTTGAAAGACAGTCTTTCTCACTTCCTCTTCCCGGCCTCTTCGATTTTTAGGTTGTGTCGCTGAGCTAATTGAACATTAAATGATCAATAAAGCGAGTAAGGATGTTATTAAATGTAAATTTCTTATCAGTGTCGTTTACTAATAATATTAATATATTGAGAGAATAGAGTGTCGTTTAATGAACAATTGAAAGTCGTTTTCCTTTAATTTTCCCCCTTTTCAACTTCCTCAAACGATGTCGTTCAACTAAATGAATCTCTCTACATAATTGCAATACTTTGGGGAACCTCATTTTCCCGCTCACCACCTCAGCCTTTCACTCGCACGATTAAGAGAACCTATATTGGTCTTTTCAATTTCCGCCTAACATGTACACCTATTCACTCTGCCTCATCCGCTCCTCAGAGTAAATCATCGCTGACTCCCTTTCACAATCCCTTTCTGGCTTTCTCACGGTGCAGGTGGATGAAAATGGCCTCAACAACACTTCTTCTCTCATTTATCATCTCATACATCAACTCATCATCTACCTTCATTGAAAATTACGAAGTATGTTACTTCTCATTCTCAAATTACTCAATTTGGATTGGCTACTGCAACGGAGACGATGAGTATGAGTATAGATGAAATTGAAGATGAATTGGGAATAATAGCAGGGGAAGACGAAGCCATGGCTGTAGAAAAAGAGATGTCCCTGCGTTCTTCTTCACGTTCCTGCAGGAAGCGGCCGAAATTTCAGACCAACTGTCCTGTTCACGGTCGAGACCAACCCGCCTGTTCACCGTCGAATTGAATATCTCCTTCGACCGTCAGGGATGAGGATAAGGTACTGTTACCAAATTCTATTTTATTAATATTTAAATAAAATTAATAAAATATATTAGTTCTATATTACCAAATTCATTAATCTATTAGAGAATGAATCGTATTTTAATTGCTAAATTTTTGAGAGTTTCCTGATATAATAGAAGTGTATCTGTTATATACTGCTATTAAATAAATAAACTAAACCTATTGGAACTTAACGTATGGGAACAGTCTCCTACTTAATTATGGTTCCAATTATCATTGCTATTTAACCCTATCTCACATCCACCCTGTTATTAACTCAGAGAGGCATTGATATCGGAAGGTTTTCTTTCTCTTGCTTAACTCTTTGCAGTTTGTACACAAAAAATGCCTCCAGTCAAAAAAATTGCTCCAGTCAAGCTCCTCCTAGCTAATCTTACAACAAAAAGTGATAAGAGCTCAGCCATCATTGTGCGTATCATACGAAAGTGGAATGTGCCAATGTCTCGGTCTGTTGAGCTTTTGCTCCAAGACGATCAGGTAATTAATTTCTCCTACTTTGTTTATTCATGATCATCATTCTAAGTCTCATGCCTCTGTTTTTATTTTTTAAGATACCTCATGCCTGATCGGTGTAGCCTATACTTTCTGCATATTTGCTTAAGTGTATGACTGCACGAGTGTATGCTATAATAGTATGACAAAGACAATGACTTTGTGAGTAATTAAATGGGTTGAATACTGTAAGTGTTCATGTTGTATTTGTATTATTTAGTAAACAATTTATTCAAATGTGAAATAGGGTTCTACAATTCAAGCAACCATAGAAGAGGCACATGTTCCTATATTTGATGATCAAATTGAAGAGGGTAAAATCTATGCCATGGTAAAATTCACCATCCAAAGTAATGTAGGAACGTGGAGGCCAAGCTCTCATGATTGTAGGCTCCGCTTCACTGCCACTACGAAAGTAAAGCTGCACGTGAAAGACAACTTTGATCTTTCTCCTTTCGAGTTTAAAAGCTTCAAAGATATCATGAATGCACCAAAAGCAAAAACACCTGATCTGTTTGGTAATGTTAATATGGTTAATCCTCCCATTTTCTCTGTTTTTGCATTTACAACCACATAAAAATATGCACTTAAATTAATGAGATTTTTTTATCGTATTTAGATGTTATTGGAGCTTTTGATCCAAGAGTAAAACCGAATCATAGTCCTACAGTTGACGGAAAAACGAAATGGTGCAACTTTAATATTCGCAACTTAGAGTTAAGATAGTCTTCCTTATATTCAAATTAACTTCTTATATCAGTTAGATTATGCATTGATTTGAGTAAATATTAAAATTAAATTCTTATAAGGATAGGAATTTGAAGATACATTGCACTCTGTGGGATTCATATGCTGATGCATTCTTGGAGTATCTCAAAACACCTAGATCTGGTGCAGTTGTTGTTTTGCTCCAGCTTTGCCGCTTAAACGCACGATGGGGTATCCTTTTTTGCATATGTTTTGCATTGTCCTGTTTTGTTGAAATATGGGGAATTGAATTGTATTTTTTGTGAGTTGTTTTATTATTATTTTAATTGTATTATTTTCAGGTGGCGTTTCAACATCATACCATGCTACAAAGTTGTTAATCGATGAAAATATCCCAGAAATTAAAGACTTCCGTGCGAGGTTAGAACTTTTACTTTTTCATATAAAAGTGTTGAACTGAGATCTGTGGTGTATCTTAAATGCTTTGCATAGTTACAATTTCCCCCATCATCAATTGTTAATATATTTAATGATATGTTCAGATTATTAATGCAAACTTTTAACAGGTTTTCAAGCTTAAACATACACTCTATTCAGTACACCAATACAGGTTTATCAGGAGGTACATCATCCTAGAATGATGGAAGTGAGGTTGGCACTACCAAAAATTTGTCTGAATTGGCTACAATCAAAGAGGTAAATGCAATAAATTCATACTTTTAAATTTATGTTTGATTTTCACCTATCATTATTCTTCTCTTACCTTTTAAAAAGGTGCGTGGTTGTTGGTTTTATGCGAAAGTCCAAACAATAATAAATAGAGAGAATTGGGCTTACCTTAGCTGCTTCAATCGGAGGTGTTTTAAGAAGGTTTTGTGTTCTCACTCTTGAACTTACTTTGTTCTTTGTTGAATCTCATGATTTTTCATGTATGGTGGGATTCTTATAATGCATTAGCTATGTTCACAAAGTTATGAAGCCTTGATGTAGTTTTGATGATGATCATAATCCATAATTGTTGTTTACTGATAATGATCATAGAGTTTATAATCAATCTTCAAAACAAATCCTTCATTGTATTTCTTTTGTTCTTTTAATTCTTTTTTGTTTTTTGGTTCTTTTGATCGTGTATATCAACTTACATAACCCTCATTAATAATGTAATTTGTAATGATCAGCTTTGTTCACTTTTTTCTTTTAATTGGTTTATACAATCTATACAAAAAGGTGACTCACAAAGACGGAAACGAATTGGTATGCAAGTGTGGGTTGCGCTCTTCAGAAGGCATATGGCTTTATCTCTTGAAATTAAGAGTTGAGCATAAGCAATGTAGTGCTGAAATAGTATTCTGGGATCGCGAATGTAAAAGACTGTTTGGAAAAGATGCAAGTGAATTTTCTTCTCATCTTGATGAGGTTAGTATATTATCTGTTACATTCATACTTTTGAATCATATAACACGTTGTTGTCTAAACATATGTTTTAAAATATTTTGTTTAGGACACCTTTGGTCCTAAGAGCTGTCCAGAAGATATTGAACAGCTGGTTGGTAATGAGTTTTTGTTTAAGATTGACTCTGAAGGGCCTTCAACTGTCCATGGGAAATCCTACAATATAGGGGCTTTGTCTAACAACAAAGAAAAAATCAACGAGATCAAATCATCTTTTGATGGTTCATCAGATTCAGCGGTAAATCATTGATAAATAAATGAGTGTGTGTGTGTATATATATATGTGTGTGTATATATATGTATGTGTATATATATATATATATATATATATATATATATATATATATATGTCTATATATTTATCTTATTGCTAAGCTAAAAGGGCTAAATAGTGGACTGCTCTTTATGAAATTTTGAGCATCCAATCCTTGCAGGCAGAGGAGTGCAATTCAGATTACGATCTAGACTTGCTAGATGACCCTCCAACTCCTGTGGAATCAAACGTGGTATACTTTCAGCTTCATATATTTGTTTTGGAGAACATGAGAAATCTGAAATTTAATGAGTTTAGAAAGCATCTTAAATCTTCTAGCAGATTTCATATGATTCGGATTATGTTTTGTTAATCAATTGCTTAAAAAAGGTGTCTTAAACATGGAATTTATCAGCCTGTCATATACAAATACAAGATGGAAATCAATTAACCTAGAGTTCACACTTTGCTTGCACAAGTCAAGTTTTAATATGCAACATGCATTTGCTACAGAGATCATGCCTTCCAGTTCTAATTTAAAGAGTGTGGTTTGATTCATTTATAGAGTACTGATTTCTTTAAGTTTATTTTGTATTTTATATTAATGTGACAGTAATGAATTAGTTTCTTCTGATAAACCTGATTATATTTTGAGACAAACTGAATAACTTGAGTAAATGACCTGTTTTCGTTGTCATTAGTAAAAAATGGAATCATAGTTTTATGGGAAAAGGTGCAAATAGGCCCATGTACTAACAAAAAAAAGGTCAAATAAGCCCTTATTTAGGAGACTCTGTCCGGCCGTCGTCATTTGGGGTGGTTCCCATTTGAATTTTTTGATGAAATTGTTTGAGCATATTATTCATCAAGTCTAGTTTACTCATACCAAATTTCAGCTAAAACTTCAATCGGGAAGGCATTCAAATGAATTTTTGAAGATAACTGCCCTTCTAACTGCGCAGTTATTTTCAAGAATTCATTTGAATGCCTTCCCGATTGAAGTTTTAGCTGAAATTTGGTATGAGTAAACTAGACTTAATGAATAAGATGCTCAAACAATTTTATCAAAAAATTCCAACGGGAACCACCCCAAATGGCGACGGCCGGACAGAGCCTCCTAAATAAGGGCTTATTTGACCTTTTTTGGTTAGTACATGGGCCTATTTGTACCTTTTCCCTAGTTTTATTGTTCTATTAATGCAGACACATATCTCCAAGGATATTGAGGAGGTCGTGAGTACTCCACAATCATTGTCTAAGCGACCCTCTGAAGATGATATTGATTGTGAACTTGATGTTGGTGCATCTACTCCACTGACTCGAGGTTCAGCTACTAAGAAGCTCAAATCGGTCAAGATAGAGAAACCATAAATTATTATCCACTTTAATTTTTTTTTTCACTTTAGGTTTGTTATTCGTTTTTAGTTCAGCTACTAAGAAGCTCAACTCCATTGTTCCGAATTGTTATGCGTTTCGAGTATTTTGTTATGCGTTTCATCAGATTGTTATTTCAACATTTTTGTTGCTATTAACATTAATTAAGATTTACTTTAAAACTATCCTGCCGATGTTATCGTTAGATAGTTGTTTCTCTAGAAAGTGGTTTTCCTATTTTTAACCTACTTTGATGTTTTCGAATATTAACTTTTTCTTTTAAATTTTAAGGCTACCTTTATGGGAGCTACTATTAAGTATAACGCTCGAGATTTGACAATTGAAATCAAGAGCTCAATCCATGAATTCATGTAAATAAGTGAGCCGAACAGCAGAGACATTCTCTCTATTTTGAATCATATCTTACATACGTACATATGGACTCGGGCCGGTTTGGGCCCGGTTCGGGCCTGGGCCCGGCCGGGCCTCGGGCCAGGAAAGGGAGGCCCGAGCCCGAACCGCCGGTTCCGGATCCGGTTCCGGGCCAAACCGGGCCGGGCCGGGCCGGGCCGGGCCGAACCGGCCCAATTAATTTTTTTTTGTTCTTCTATTTAATCCCCTCCCCCTCCCCCTCAACCCCAAACCATCCCAAACCACCTCAAATGGCCCAAAATACCTAATCCAACCTAAAACTTAAAAAAATTTCAAAAAAAAAAAATAAAATCCGGCCCAGACCGGGCCCGAACCGGCCGGGACGGTTCACCAAAACTTGGGCCCGAGCCCGGACCGCCCAGCACCCGGGCCGGGCCAAACCGAACCAGTGGACCCACCGGGCCACGGGCCGGGCCGGGCCAAACAGTGACCGGGCCGGTTCGGTCCCGGGTCGGGCCGCCCGGCCCGAGTCCAGCCCTAGTACATACACTTCTATTATTTAGCAAATCTAATCATCTCAAGAATCCCAATAGCTAATGTGTAGCAAATCTTATCATCAAATTGAGATGGATTAAGTAATATATTGAGTTTTTCCCCAAATTAATTTAAAATGAAAAAATAATTATCAAATTAGTACAAATTAAAACTATTTCTCAAAATATTGTTGGGGAAAATTGGAGTTACAATGACAACAATATATTACAGAGAAATTACCCTAAATAGGACTAAAAACGTTTGAAAATTCCAAAATAAGACTGTCATATTTTTATTTCCAAAATAGGACTAATTACTGTCATGTTTTGCAGTACCAGGCTTTGAAGATGGCAGTATTTTCCAAACTTGGCAGTAATTACTCCTATTTTGGGAATAAAAATATGACAGTCCTATTTTGGAATTTTCAAACGTTTTTAGTCCTATTTCGGGAATTTTCCCAATATTGGTGTCATATGAAATATGACAAAAAGTTGAAAATTTTGATATACACGTACTCGCTCCGTTCTTTTTTATTACCCCTTCTTTCCTTTTTGGGACATTTTTTTTTATCTGTCCTCTTTTCCATTTAAGGAAAGTTTTTACTCTAAATATACCTTTATACCCCAACTTTTATTACCATTACTCCTTTCTCTTTCCTACTTTTTCATTTACCCACTACTCATTACACATTTTACACTACCCCTACTACTTTCCTATTAAAACTCGTGCCAAAGCCTAAGAGGACTAATATTAAAGAACGGAGGTAGTAGTATTTTGTAACTATCCGAGTACAAAAACAAAAGTTAAAACACTTTAATAACATGTTTTTTATAATGCTTAATTATTTTTTTACTTTTATATATGCAATATTGGTGTCATATGAAAGATAATAAAAAATTATGAACTTTGATATATTTTTTGTAACAACCGGTGTATAAATAAAAAAGCTATACCACTCTAAGCAAAATACTCCATAACTTTTTTAATTTCGTTGATAACTATTCTACCTAAAAGCTTGCCCAGATGTTTTGCAATTTTACGTCAATTAGAAGTCTTTACACTCACCAACAAACAAAAAACATCAGCAACAAAGATACGGAGTACAATTGACCTTTGCTGCACGAAAAAAAAAGCTTCCTTCAGTTGGTTCATATTGCTGCGGTTGTTCTCCTTGCTTCATAGCGGTGGTTCTCCGCTGGTGACCTCGACTGCTTTAGGCAGAGCCGTGCCGCCGACCATTCCTCTTCTATACCGCTTCCTTCCCATTATTCCGGATTCCTTGAGCACAGGTGAATTATAGTTTGCTTAATGTGATTATATATATATATATATATATATATATATATATATATATATATATATATATATATATATATATATAGATTTAGGATCAAATGAGAACAACCCTTAACGTGAGAACGTGAGAACACCACATTTACCCAAATGTGATGCACAATGAGGCTCGCCCAATGCACATTTTCGCGTTCGGCACAGTATTTACTAAAATGCCACCGTCATTATTTATATAGGCTTATTTTGAGCTAAACCCAAATGTGCACCTGACGGGCTCAATTGTGTATCACGCTGGGTTAATTGTGAGTGTTCTCACGTTCTCACGTTAAGCATCGTTCTCACTGGAACCGCACCCTATATATATATATATATATATATATATATATATAGGGTGCGGTTCCGGTGAGAACACCCTCTTAGGAGAGGAAAAAAGATTAAAATACAACCATTGATTAGTGGAATCATGCGGCTAAGATGTGAGCTTGGGACGTTTAAAAAAAGCACTTGATGCGTGCGTGTTGCAAATTAAAATGCCAACCATGCATTTAGAAATTAAAGCTTTCAAAGGGTAAATGGGTAAAATACTTATGCCATTAATTAAGGCAGTTCGGCACACCAATTCCTATATGGCAAGAATCTCGGTTAATAAACAATAATGATATTTAACTTGGGAATCATTTAAGTGCATTGGAAAAGACCATTTTGAGGATGATATTATAAAATAAAAAATAATGATGATGAAGCGCACAATGAGTATTGACTTCGTACACTAAAATTTAATATGAAAGGGCATTCAGATATTATTATGCATTCTTGATAAATTTAGTATGTACCCAAATAAATTTAAAGTGCACCAAAAATAGGGTAAATGTGCATTATTGAGAAATGAGATATATATACATTATAGAAAAATTTAGTATGTACCAAAATGTATTTAACGTGCAATGTATATTTACATATGTTTAATGTTTAAAAATATGTTTTAAGTGGATCATTCTATTATGCACTTCATTTGAGTTATTGTGCACTTCTAACATTGAGGTACACATTTTGTAGTTGATCTACGATTGTTCTATAAAATTCAAATAGTTTTCTAGAATACTTTTATTTGATATATATTTCTGCACTTTTTGGTACAACTAGCCATACTTTTGATCGAAGTATGTTAAAATTCTCTACGTGCACTTTTATTTATATTGATTTGCACTTTTAATATGACAATCTAACTCGTTGATTTGCATGTGAGCCATTGTGCACTTTTCCAGCAAATGTTGTATGAATTTTAATCATACAATTTATATGCACATTTCGTGCTTCACGATGCACTCAAATATTTTACTGAATGCACCTTTATGCAATAATAAGCTAAATGGAGCAAATTAATTGTAGATGGAAAAAGGGAGCAAATTAATCACTTGATTGGTGGGTGGTACAACCACACAAATGGTTAAGATATCATTTTAAATGTACAGAAAAGTGCACTTCAATGTATACAAAAGTGCGACATTACATCACACTTTCTAAATATCTACTTGCACCCTTATTACAAAATGAAATGCACTTAAATCACGTGCATGTGAAATATATACAAAATTGCACTATTATAACAAACTTTTTGCAATTTTACATTGACATTTTATACAAAGTTAAAGGCACTACTTCTTCGAAACGAGTCACTTTTTCTCTATTAGCATTGCATCCTATCGTATCTGCAAAAAAGCAAAAAATTAAAAACTAATGAAAGTGCATGTCCAAAGCTTGTTAAGTGCATAATACAAAGCTTAATAGAAAAGTGCGACATATAATCACACTTTCTAAAAGTCTACATACACCCTTACTTATTACAAAATGAAATGCACTTCAATCATTTGCATTTGAAATACATACAAAAGTGCACTATTATAACAAACTTTCTGCAATTTTACATTGACATCTTATACAAAATCAAATGCACTTTTTCTTCGAAATGAGTCACTTTTTCTCTATTGACATTGCATCGTACTGTATTTGCATCTATTGAAAGTGCATGCCCAAAGCATGAGAAGTGCATAATAAAAAACTTTATAGAAAATCATATTTAATATTGTCTGGAAATAAAATGTCAAATGCATAACTAAATTAACATAAATACTTACGGTAGGAGCATATGATAAACTCCAAGAGAGGAAACGATAACAGAATTCTTCCAACCATGATTGATATACATCAGGAAACGATAAACTCCAAGGGCATGCCGTTTAAAATATTGAAACATTATTAGAATTATACATCCAAACTGTACTATACAATGTTGAATTTGTATATATGTAGTATCTCAATAAAAAAGGGACATAATTATACATATATTAATCCCCCTTAACTTAATCCAACAAAAAAACGCACACAACCCATGGAAAAGATCACGCAGCAAACATAGAAAATAGTACTTCGTATGAAACAAACGAAACTTACTGAACTCCATGGATGAACGTTAGGTGGAGCAGACAACTCAGAAAAGAAAAAGCAACGATCAATGTCGACAACGGAAAAGAAACGATCAATACGCGCAAGGAGAACAGCACGACGAAAGAGGCAGGAAACTATCTTTGGAAAGAATTGAGGAGAAACGGTTATGGAAAGAATAATCCAGCGTGATCTTAGGCGCAGGAAAGAATAGGATTTACGTTTCTACGTAATTGACTTGGCTACCCTTTCTATATATATATATATATATATATATATATATATATATATATATATATATATATATATATATATATATAGGGATGGGTTCTAGTGAGAACATCCCTTATTGTGAGAGCGTGAGAACAAATCCTGGCTTTTGATCTGGAGAAACGGACGGTTCATTAATCTGAAGGTGCATATCAAAAATCATGCACCGTGTCACACACATATGCATCAGGCATACTAATTTAAGATACGTGGCATGATTAAAGGGTAAAAAAGTCAAAATATGGAGGTTATCACTTACGTAACATTAGGAAGGATTAAAG